TATAGTTTTAATGTGTAAGACCGTTGAATTTTTCTTAGGTGCTTTTCCAGATCAGTATTTGGGCAGTTGCGTTACCTTTTCTTCACCTCAATGATTCAGTCGACAGCTAAATTAAAGTTATTGACACTTCAACAACCTCTAATTGTTGGTGTTTAATGACAGGTGACCTGGGATTTGGTTAAGCAAATCTATTCCAAACAAACCCCAAATTGAACTGTATTTGTTTTACATCAAGTGGCTCAATCGAATTATCAGCTCCTTTCCATAACCTTCATTCTCAAACTCATATTCAGTCCTTGATCCCCTCCAGATTTCTGCCATACGGAAACCTCTCCATTTGTTTCATTTTCTCACTCAATATTTCTTTCTTTCTGGCTTCAAAACATCCACTCATCCTACCCAAAATGCATCGATTTCTTCATTACAGACTGCCTCTTCCTCTCCCCTCGCAGGCTTCAAGTATCTGTCTCTTGTTAGGAAGCATCAGAGGTCAGCTGGTAACGAGACCCTGCATTGTTTTCTTCCTCCTTTCATGCAAACACAAACACCTTTGCTTTGGGAGCACTGCTGATTGATGACTGGTTTGTCTGCTGTGCTGTTGGTTCGGTAGATAATTATGTTCTGTTTAGCAGACCATCAGTATAAGAGGAAGAGAGACAGAGACTAATGGTAGACATGTGAAAGTGTACTTGTTTGAGTCACATTAGGTCATGATAATGACTATAGAGGACAGCAGAATGGAAAGACGATTGGCTTTACTGATATTATAAAGATGTGGTCAAAAATGAGCATGTTATGATGAAAATGACAGGGACTGGTGTTTTATTAGACTGATAGACGTATTCAAAGACACACGAAGATTCTAGAATTACTTAATTTTTTTTGGCTTCTAAGATTTGTGTCTGTTTAAACCCATCAAGGTTTATTGCTATATTAATTATTGAAATAAGACGTGCACAAACATGTCATTCCTGAGTACAAAATTAGGTTTCATCCAAAGCTTTCTGGATTCTGTATAGGGTTTATAAAAAGATTTCTAGGGTATAATTTTCAGTTGTATATATATAAAGTACTTAAGAAATGATAGTGTACAGTTAAAAAAAAACACAATTTGATGCACAATACTAAGGATGAAAAGGGTTACAGAGGTTACAAAAAACTACAGCTTTAGTTTGTGTGATTCAGTTTGGATCACTTCATAACCAAATTGAATAAAGTCAAAATGTAATCAAGTATAAAGCACAACAATTGAGGTTTAATTTAATATTTGGTGCCTTTTTCTTATCCTGCAGATTGGAAATAGTACAACATTATAATTTCAAGTAAAAAAATAAAAAACGAAAAACAGGAAAAACATTTTTAATAATTGTAGAATGTATAAACAGAAAAAATGTGTTTTTGATCTGACTCTTCCTCATCTGATTCTTCTTTTCACCTGATTTCTGTCTTGTGTTTTTGCTTGATGACCATCTGTTCAGATCCTTAATCCTCCAGTGTAATGGGTGGCTAATTGGTGGTCATTTATCATTGGACAAAAAAAAAGCTTTCCAAAAAAATAAAATAAAAAACAAGAAAAAAACAAAAACCCAACAAAATGTACCAAAACGCAAACAGACTGAAAAAGAGACAGCAGCCTACACATCTCTACCATCCTCTATCTGAAATAACGAAGCCTTCCCAATTCACCAATTCACTTGGGGCCTATTCATTTTCTCAGCTGCCTCATGCAGCACACACACAGCCACTCAAATCCCCACAGATCCGATCCTTGGAGCATGCAGTTAAAAAAAATTCCTTCACTGATAGAAACACCCTCCCCCAGTGAGTACCAGCATGCACACACCACAGCGAGTCTCTATTGCAGGGTCCCCAGAGGGCCACTGCAGCATAGGAAAGATGTAGAGTTCCTGTGCAAGTGTGACATATTCCACAGACAGATCGCCACTAATGAGAGATATTACTCAGATATGCATTAGAGTAGAGGTAAAGGAAAGGTCAGTGTGAAAATGGAGAAAGTGTGGATGAAGGAGAGGGGAGAACAATAGGGAAGAAGGAGAGCAATTAAATGAAAACAGGAGAGCTGCACACCGAGGAGAAAACTAGAAATGGGTATCGACAGCAGAGGCTGAGGAGAAATGGAGAAAGACAGGGGATCAGGTGAGAGGACCTGGGTTGGACATGGGAATTTTGTGCAGACAGCGAGCCAGACAAAGATTGTATTTGTCTTTGTATGCAGTCCACGTCTGAGAGTGAAGCTCGAGACCTGCACGGGATTTACCAGCCATGCAAGGTTGCATTTAATGACCATGAACACAGGTTAAGAGAAAAATGCAGATGCAGTCCAACCTACATTCCTAGCCAGCTCGTATTTTACAATTCAAGTGATAACGGAAATCTTCACAAAGTGCATAAAAAACAGGTGTTACAGACATGTGAAAATATCTGGACAATGTTCCGGTATTATTGCACGACTGTGAAAAGACATGGAATAAAAACCATTCAGTTCTTCTATCATATTTTTCCTGGAGCTCACACACCTTGAATTGAAAGATTGCCAGAATCATTTAAGCCTTTTCTTTGGTTGTTTGGAATTAACTACATCTACCTCAGAAGGATGCATTACTGCATCTGTCTGTCAGCTGTGTATAATGCATAGAGGGGATTTTTACCTGAAGCTCTCTGTTGTTACGAAATAAGACAAGATTTGGTTTTCTGTACTTTTAAATGGAAGTAATCAGATTGTTTCACTCAATTTTTCCTTCTTTTTTAAAATACTTATACTTTTTCACATATCACATATCACATCTTACAGTGAGACTCTCATACCAGTCCTACAATTAAAATAATAGAAAAAATAATAATAAATTGATCTCACAATGGAGAAATTAACTCTTATTTTAAAACCGCATTTAACCCTTCCCCTTTGGGGAGCAGTGGGCTGCCACTGTGCAGCAAACGGGGAGCAATCAGGGGTTAAGGCTCTTGCTCAGAGAGCCAGAGTGGCAGTTTGTGGGAGTGGGTTTCAAACTCACAACCTCAGGATTCCAAGCCCTATGCCCTAACTACTAGGCTGCCACTCCCACTCCCTCCCTTAATGTGCTCAGTAAATATATAAGTCTTATGCTTTAATTATTCACCTCATTTCTACACAACCTGGGTATTGTAGGGGTCCAAGCTCTTGCAATCAACTGGCAGAGAGGAAAGCCTGCGTGTTTAAGAGGACATTTGTGTAATTTACTACTCTGACAGACACTATTATGTCTGCTACACAGGTGTATATCAGTTATATATCAAAGATTGAAGACAGTCATTCAATTATCTACAGATGAACAACACAGAAGAGGCGTGAAGGCAAAGAAGAGGTGTGAAAGCAATGAAGAAAAACCATCAGTGTTATTGGTGATGTGATTTAAAGCAGTTCATTAGGTATGACGTCCCAGTGATTTTTCAGATACGGTGACAGACTCAGACTCTGGTGTAAACCATGAATAATTAACTCATTTATTTTGAGCTTGCTGTGTTTTTCATCAATAATGTACCCATGTTAACCCTGTCTTATTTATGTTGTTTCGGGTAAGCATCTCTTCTGGGCTTGATTATGTACAACTTATTCCAAGATAGCTGACTTGTACGAAGAAATAATAGTGTCTCAGCCGACTGAGAACAAATTCTCATTTACAACAAAGATCTGACTAAAAGGCAACATTAAAAGGTAATAAATAATTTAAACAATAATCAAAATCTTTAATCATACCACAAAAAGGAACAACAAAAGAAAGTACAAAAGCTTTCAGGTCAAATCTGTTTGAGTCTGTTTTAAAATTCCTTTAACTTTATCAGATTAAATTCAAAGTAGAATCTTTTCTATTCACTCCTTTCTATGCAGTGAAGTCTGAAACTGTCATGATCTGCTGTGATAGCTGGCCTTAATTACTCATGCCTTTCACCTGCTTAACTCTTTCCAGCTGCTAATTATCACTCATCTCATCCACCTGCCAGTTTCCTTTATATTGGGCTCAGTTCCAGCTATCATGGTCAGATCATTGTTTGCTTTCGGTTTGGTCCCCGTGTGATTCTTGTTAGTGTCCTGTCTGTCAGCTTTGTTAGTTTTAGGTTTATTTCCAAGGTTCTGTTTTCCTGGATCCATTCCCTCTCACCCACTGGCCCTGTCTGGTCTGCTCGCCTGAACCTATGTTAGACTCCTTCTGGATTTTGCCTCACAGGTGCGTTTCTGTCTGAGCTGGAGGCTAGACGCACATGACCTGCCTTCTCTGATGGAATCCTGGAACCTGGATGTGTCCGTTCCTGAATGGATCGGAACCCCTGATCAGACTGCAGACTTCTGGATTCCAGTACTACTCAGGTCTGATCTGAATCCCTGTCCTGGACTGGAGTCCAGCCTGCTTACTGGGGTTGCTGCATCAGGGAGGCTCTGGATGGCTCAGGGCCGCATCTCGTTTGCAGATCATCGGCTTATCCTACCTATGATTGAGAGGATGGACTGAACTGTTAAACCAGGTAAGTGTCTCAGTCTAATAATCATCTTCAGTTCAGACGATCGTGGTCTGTGTTTCTCCCTAAACCAGAGTGTCAGTGATTGGGCGGTGCCCTGCCCCCCTCCCGCAGATCCTCAGCAGTCCGCTTTAGTTCTGTAAATCTGTTTGTTTTGATTAAACTTTTTGAACTTTCCTACTGGCTGTCTCACCTTAAATACTGGGTCCATCTGTCCTCTTTTATGACAGAAACCTCAAAACTCTTTGACTAGTTGAATCTTATACTGTCACCCTTCCTCTGTTTCGTAATGATTAAACAATAAATTAGATCCCAAATGTATTCAAAACAAACTTCTGTCAAAAAGTAAGATTTAAATCTACAGTAAGGTTTTCCTTTAAAAACAAAAAATACAGTAAGGTTTTCCATGCGACAGAGTACTGAGATTGTGTCTCAGCAACATTTACTGAAACTGAAGAGAATCAGACACAATTACATTCGGTACCTTTTTAATAAATATAAAAAAATGTATTTTGATGAAGTGGTTTTAAAGAGCAGAATTTTCAAAATCCTGTATTTTTTTAATTAAATACACATACTTTATGATCAGCAATAATTCCAGCTCTATAGCCTCGTCAGCACAGCGTAAATAACAAGAGATGTCTGACATGGAACTGAACTTACACTCAAAGCTCCAACCTCTAACTTTGCTCCCACTCCTACTCAAAATATACCTCTTTTAACTCATTGTTGAGCAAAAACTTGTTTTCAAGTATAGAAAATGACAATCGAATGTTTAGTCCTCTTTGGAACATCCATGATCACTTTTAGAGAAACTTTCAGTGTATTCTGAACACTGAAAGAACAGGTTGCCAGTCAGTTGCAAATGACCAAAAGCCAAAAAGGTTTAGATCAGGGAAAAGATACCACAGAAAAACCTTCACATTATATAAGCAGAGGTAAATAAATCAAGAGTACTAGGGAAAAACTAACAACATTGGCATATCAGAAACTGTCAATCTCAAACATTAAAGGAGCCTTAACAGTTAAAGAGCAACAGAAATCTCTGGTGGATATTAGTGGTGTTCTGTATGTGACAATAACCTGTTGTAGGATTCATGTGGACTGGAGAGGAAATGAGCTTATATGTTATGGTCTAATGCAGTGATTCCCAACCGGGGTATTCATGCCCGTAGTGGTCTATAATGCGGTTTTACAGGCTTTGGTTATTAACGCAGACGCGACAGTGACTGCTGCTGCGTAACGTCCACACTTCCACGAAGCCAGCCAGACACCCACTCACACATACTAGGTCTACAACGTCAGCCTGAGTGTTGTGAAAACACCAACATAAAACAATACAATATAGAGGCAGACAGGCAGTTCTTCAAGAATGAATACATGACAGCTCAGTGGTGTGTCAGCATTCACTGTGAGTCTAGGTGGCATGTGGGCAATGAAATAGAATAATGTAAACACCATGGTTCCATCAGTCAACAGACCAAAACCAATGAAACCAGCAGTCCTCCTGATACTGCTACTATTAAGAGTAGAAGTGGTGAAGTGGTGAAATGTACACCTTGACACACAGCCGCCACAGTCAATTGAATGCCTTCCAAAGCCTTCACACTAGGTTACAAGCATCATGCGTTTACAGTGATATTTCACTCTCCATCAAGAAAAAAGCTAAACACGATGTGCACGGACACACAGTTTTAAGTACTGTATACCATTCTTTTTAGAGGAATATACAGTAACTATAAAAAGTCTGTCAACATAGCACAAATGAAATATTCGAACATAAATTCGCCAAATATAAGAGGAACATCGTTGTTTGATTTAAAGAAAGCATTTCAGTTTATTTATAAGTTAGTTTGTTGCAAGGATTTTGAAGTTAGAAGAAATAGAAAATTACACTATATGCCAACCGTCACAAGGATGTGCTTGACAAGGAAGGAGTATATATACTGCATGCATCAATTAAGTAGTAAACATTGTATTACTTCTTGAGCTGTCACAGGAAGGTGCTTCGGCCGGAGAGTAAGTGTTGGGGCTGGTATGATTTTAGGAGGGCCGGCCCTCTCATGCTGAAATTAGGACCGGCCCACCGGGCAAATGCCCGGTATCACAGATTACCAGTTCAAGCCTGAACAGGGTTGTCATAATTTGGACTTTGAGTAGAATAGATTTGGGCAAATTTTGCAAAGTCAAGCTGGTAGACTCTCACCATAAACTGAATGCTGAAATGGAATGAAAAACAGTGGTGTAACACAGCAATTATTCCAGAGTGTGCACAGATGACCAAGACATTTTATTCTGTGGGTCTTTCTATTGCACATTTATATTGCATTAAAGTTGGAAATGTCTTTAAAAGTATTTCTATTGTTCTATTTTTTAGTAAGAAAACAAAAACAAGACAAAAATAAATTTTTTACCAGGATGTGAACATTTTTCATAAACACTGTATGGAGTTTAGTACAAAGAAAATTATAATAGTTTCCTCATAGCCTCTAATCTGATTTTTTCAAAATGCTGCCATCAGTCAAAAGTATTATCATTAAATTTAAAAAGCATTTTGAGTCATAAGGATGCTTTAAATAGAAATTATTTTGATTGAGGGAAAGCAGATACAGATACATTTGTATTTTCTCATTCTGAAGAAAACTTTATAATCTGTGGTGGTCTGAGTATTGCACGCTTATAAATACAGTCTAAGTCAAAGTCAGATGAACCCCCAACCGGCGGTCTGTAAACTGCTTTTGAGGCTTAGGACTGAGAGCATCTTACTGTACCTGGCAAAAAAGGAGGCAGCTGCAGAAGTGGCAGTGGGTGCTGAGGTGGTAACCGCTGGAGTGTTAGAGGGAGAGCTGGTGTGCGATGGTGAGTTCGTATTTGCACGGGAGTGGGAGTTGTAGCGGTTCAGGGCAGCTTCAGTGCCTCCTTCTTTTGAAGCGTCAGAAATCATCTGGGAGATCTAAAACACAGAGAGACAGACCCTTTACTATGTTTCCCAAAAATAAGCCTGTTTATAAAAATCATATTTGAAAGGTAAATCACCAATTAATCACTAAATCCTACACAGTGGACCAGCCATGGCAGTGTAGTAGCATTAAGGTTGCTTTTTTTTTTCATTCTACAACTGTAGTTTGTACGTAAGATAACCACGTTTACAAAGATAAGATCCAGACTGAGGATAAAATAACAATGAGACAGAGAAGCAAAATACCATCACTCTGCTTGATCTTCTCTCCCAGGCAGACAGATGTAATTTTGGGTTTGAATTCTCCAACACTGATCCATGTTTATTGTGTCAGACATTTTCACCCAGACTATGGTTAATCTTTGGTCTACATTTTTCCAGATCGACAGGTAAATAAACCCATGTCGCTTTGTGCTATGCCCCATTTTTACAAAGATTAATGTGTGTTACAGCAATAAATCCTCTATTTCTTTCTATTTAATTCTAGGAAAAAATTAAACCCTTTATAAACACAAAAAAAAAAATACAACAAAAACGAAAGCATCTAATGCACTGTGTGTGCTATTAATAGCTGACTGACAGCAGATAACCTCTTTATTGATCAGCAGGTCGATCTGTTCTAGATATACAGAGGTAAATCTTCTCCTGGCCATCTTATGACCCTTAGTTCGATAATATCCCCATTTCTCTTTATCTACATTCAGTCCCTGTTAATGTTAATTTCATAGACAATTGGAAAAATAACAATTTCATATAACTATTTCTTTGTTATATAAGACTGCATCATAACATAACTTCAATCAGATAAAGTATCAAAAATAAATTTCAGCCTATAACACTTCAATAAGATAATTACCAATTAACATTTAGTAACATATGAATGCTTAGGGGGTTTATAGAGAGCACTGCTGTTGCTAGTCAGAGCTCTTTTGTTAAAAAAAAATAGAGCATGCCTTAAATAGGGCAAAACACTTGTTATTGATGGATAAGAATGTGCTGCATTTATTTCTTGTTTTTCAGTTTTGAGGAGTCACTGCAGCAGTGCAGCCACTGAGTAAAGTATGCATTTATTTAAGCAGACATCTAAGAAATGTGTTTTTGTATTTGCGCTTATTAATTTCTTCAGACATGATCATCAAATCATGTTAACCTCTTACACCCTCAGGGGGTATAAATAAATTTCTGCCTGACGAAAACACCCAAAAGTAAATCACTTATAGCCTCACAGCTATTAGATTTAAGAAGAAACTTTTGGTACCTCTGTAAAGGTAAGATGTCATAGAATGGTTTTCTGGTGTCAGCACCATTGTAGCTTTGACCCTGCCTGAAATATTAGGGACAAAATACAAAATATTTTGCATTTTTTTAACCTCGCCAAAATTTTCTTTGAAATGAACATTGCAAAACACTACCAAAATATTATTTATAGCACAAAAAAGTAGTACAGACTTTTAAATCTAAATGTTGTGTAAAAATATACCAAATTTGGACTCAATCAGATGAATCATATTTATTTTAGAATGGTATTAGTGAGAAAGTTCTTAGGCGGAGAGGCCATTTTGGCACATTTATCCAAAAATGTCACCAAACTGTGCCAAATGTGTTTTTTACATCAATACTGGGGGTTTGTTAAAATTACGAGGTCACGTAGCAGCTGGACCCACCGGTGGGTCCGTAGGGTTCTAGGGGTTAAGGTAAACTAATAAACAACACACAGAACGTGTAGTTCCCAAAATTTGCATTTCATCACTCTAAAAGCATTGGGACTCCAGAATAGTTTGCTGTTATATCCTAGGGGCCCGGACACTGGTGGAATAAGCCAGAGGATGGGATGGACTGAAAATAAGGGAGGAGATAGGGTGGAGGTGGGAGAAAGTTCGCCTGTATGCGGGAGAGAGAATTGCCAGGAGCTAAATGAAGGGGCTAGATGATAGGCTTCAGAGAAGGTGCGGCCCCCGAGCTGATTGCTGGAGCTGAACGATGAATATCGCAGGTGGTTCAGGTGAAGCTAATAAGAGTCTTCCAGATTGAATTTACTCTTAAGCTTCATCTCTGCATTAACCTCTGCATTAACTAACCCTGATAGGTTAATATTTAAATTTAGCATTTTCCTTTCGAAGTTTATAAACTTGTTAGGTCAGTTTAGAGCTAGTTCTGGTTGACAATGATGACCTAGACTTAACACAGCAAACTTGAGTCAGCTGATTTCATTACCTCCCCTGAATATCATCAAGTTCTGCAGAGCAGTCTGTAAGTGATTTATTCATTTAAATCTGATTTATACCAACAGAGAAACATATCAAACATAAAGCAAGTCAGTCTATTTGGACTAGGGTTAGGGACCGTTGAAGTAGTACGTAGACTAGAGGAACCAAAATCAAAACTATTGATGATTAAATGCTGATAAAGGTTTTAAGTGACACTATGCTCTTGCAGGAATATAAAAACATGCTGACCTTATTCTTCACAATCCTGTCCTAATCCATTTGAAAATATGCAGCTTGTACGTCTCTATGACCATAGGTGTTTTCAAACTTCAGATGCCATTATGCATCTATTTAATCGCCACCAAAAATACTTACACAAAAATATTTTTACACAGAAGCAATAAATACCTCCCCCTCTCTTCACATCCCAAATGTATACACACATACCATGAATAATATGTATTGCTTCTGTCGTGTGTATGTGGTGTTTGACTTGTATCAGTGAGCAGTAGTGGTATATGGGTGGTCAAGTGAATCATTTCTGTCACAGGTATGGATTATTGATTACAGTTCTTTATGGTCTGTCTGATACTAGACACCAGAGCACCTGAATTATAACCAAACACTTCAATAGAGGATCGCTTTAGGAGCGCTTTGGTCCATTGTGTGTCTTTGTTTGTGTCCTTGGGTAGCTCAGTGTCTACACTTCTCCATACTTGTGTGTATAGGTGCGTAAATCAGCTCTGCTTGACTTATATTTACTGCCAAAGGCTCCTGGGGATGAAGCAGGTTGCCTGCTGCTTGATAAATAGCCTTTTGTAAACAATATCCCTGTGCAGTTTATATACAGATACAACACCTCTTTGTGCTTTACAAGCAATTGAAATGCTCAGTAAAGATCTAAAATGTGGTAATTTGGAATATGAGAGTTATTGTTTAAACATTTAGAACGGTGCCAATAAAAGGACACCAAAACAATATAGAAACGGTTGCCTGTGGATAAAACCAGCAGACCAATTCATCCACAGGTCTGCCTGGGGAGCCGCTGTACACCGCATAAAAAATAAATAAATCTAAGTAAGTCTGTTTCTTAAATTAAGTGCATTTTTTTTCTTGAACTGAGCAGGTAAGTAAGAAAATTTACATTTAAAATGTGAAAAAAAAATCTGCACTCTAAGATTAAGGTGAAATATACTCATTTCATTGGCAGATTATCTTATTTACCCACCCAAATAAAGGGTAAATACACTTATTTACCCTTTATTTGAACTGTTTTACTTAGTTTAAGATAATTTTTGCAGTTTAACTGTTTAATCTAGATTCAGTTTGGCTCTGCAGAAATACAGATTATATGAATTTATGTTTGCAATCTGAAGGAAGACCTTGCAACCACATCAGGAGTTTAGAGAGTGACATTAAGACTGTAAGCCAAATTTAAATTCCTACACTGTGTACACAACACATAACTAAATAAAAAGGTTATTGAATATTAGTAATTTGAATCATTCAAATCCTAATAAAGTATATTACATTGTAATTGTAACATTAAAAGTTGGTCAAATGTAAACGTATCTAGCTTTAAGCTAATCAACAATTTTTTATTTATTACTTTATTTATTTGACTTAATCTGTATGCCTTTATATATATATATTTTTTTTTCATTTATAATCTTATTCATATTTTAGGCACAGAAGTGGGTTAAAGAAATAATGTTAATTTTCGTTTCAAATCAATTAAGCATTAAAAGGCGAAACACTAGCAATCATAAGTAGCCATTAGGGCTAGAAAGAGCATCATGAATCATTCCTTGATTTGCGTTTCTTTATCAAAAATTGTTAGAGGCTATTACCTATTCTCTCAGGACCTATATATGTAGTTTAAAGAGCCATAAGTGAATAACATATGCATATTTGTGTGTGTCTGTATATATATAAAAAAAATAAAAAAATAATATATATATATATATATATATTCATTAGGTATTAAATTACCTTAAGGGATTTTCAATACAGAAATAGCAGGTCACTGATGACTATGTGTGTGTACTGTACAGTATATGCATTTTCTACTTGGTCAGGACTGCTTTTGCATAAATCACTTTGAAAATGCAGGGTTGGAGGTTAAAACTAAGATTTCCATAAGACTTGTTTCTTTAGAAAAACAAGAAGTTTACAGACAGGTGGCTGCACTGACTGAGTTTTTGTGAGAATTGTGATTCCATATTAAAGGAGGACTTCAGACCAATAGACAACAATCCAGTCTGTATCTTTCCTCTTCACTCTTCTGATGGCGTCTCTGGTTCAGGAAGACTTAATACATTGTTGTATTTTAACACCAGGGTCTGCTGAGGTGGACTGAGACACATAAACACCAGCAACATCCTGTACATTACACACTGGTCTTACAACTGCTTACGTTTGTTACATTATGTGATAAAAATATTGTTTTTTTTATGAATGGAAGCATATCCCTTGTATCAAAATCTTATCTTAGCTCTCAGAGAAACAGCTTAAACTTTTCTAAAAGAAAAACTATGACCTGGTTGCTGCAATGAATTAACCAGAGAATACAACATTATTTACTCATTAAAGTAATTCTTCCTGTGTTTGTCTTCATGAGGTCATTATAGTTTTCCTTTCTGATTTCCCCGCAGGACGCAAAGGCTGGGCGACTGTCTACATCTTCCAGTAAATTAGGTTATACTCTGGATGAAATTTTAATGACTCACGTGGAGATATGAATCACAGCAGCAGAAAAAAAGGTGATATAGATAACACTGGAAAAAT